AAGGGCAGAGAGAGAATGGTCCAAACACACCCATCATACCTTGACTCCAGACGGCGACTCCATGAAGCTAAGCTTGTACGTGTTAGTGCGGAAACTTCTGAAAGAAGAGCCTTGTCCAGTAGGTTGAGGTGCCCCAAGTGCAGCCTTGTTATCACTGTTCATCCACCCAAAAGCGGCAAGCAAGACAAGAAAGCAAGCACGGCGAAGAAACACCACAAACAAAGTCAGACTCGATCCTTCTACACTACTTTCTCAGAACGATAAAGTAATTCTCTGCAACCCAAACGGCAAGCAGAAATGAGACTCAAACTCAAAAGATTAGAAAACAAGATCAAGATGACGGGGGGGGGGGACAAAAACGTGCGCGATCTGAGTACAGAGAACACTTGTGTGTCAAGTTTCACTCTATTGAAATATACAAGCAATTGAAAAAGCTAGTTTTTAACTCAGGTTAAGTCATGGTACTGGTTTCTTCAGCCCTTTTTTTTTTTTTTTTTTAAATGTGTAGGCGCTTTATATGATCCCACTCATTAAATATTATGGAGGTTTAGTTAGTATAGTGTAGTATACATCCATATGTGTAACCTTCCTCTTCATGTGAGCTCCTGTTCCATAACCAATTATTGACCATTGCTATTTGCTTTTCCCTGAGGAGTGCCGGGAGCGCAGCCTGGCCGAAACGCCTCGTCGGGGAATGTGCGTGTTTCTACTGAGAACTGTTTTCACATGCGGAAGTGAACTGCTTGTCTATGGTTGCATGTACGAGAAGCAGTATATGGCCCCACTGTTTTCACTATTCCTCCTCCTTAAATTTGACACCAAGATCACAGCTTGCTTGCTATATAAGATGTCAGACATCAACAGCATAATTAGCTGAGTACGGACGCCGCCCGGCCGGGCGGGGCCGGGTGCGCCGCCCGGGCAAACCGGGCGGGCAGAAAAAACAGCCCAGATTTTTTTTATTTTTTTTTTGAAAGCGGGGTCCTTCTGTGCTCGGTGAGAGGACCCCAAATCTGCAGTAAAAAATCTGGTTTGGGGGGGGGTCGGGTTGTCTGGGTGCGGGGGGGAGAGGAGGAGGAGAGAAGAGGAGGAGGAGGAGAGAAGATGAAGGAGGAGGAGAGAAGATGAAGGAGGAGGAGAGAAGAGGAGGAGGAGGAGAGAAGATGGGCGGAAGAGGAGGAGGAGGAGGAGGAGAGAAGAGGAGGAGGAGAGAAGATGGGTGGAAGAGGAGGAGGAGGAGAGAAGAGGAAGGAGAAGAAGATGAGGGGGAGGCGAGGAGGAGAGAAGAAGAAGAAGAAGAAGAAGAAGAAGGGAACAGTTTTTTTTCTTTTCTTTAATTACCTGTCGTTTATCTCGCGACCTATCGCTGACGAATGGAACAAAAAAAAAAAAAAAAAGAAGATAGTCGGAAGAGGAGGAGG